AGCAGCATGTCATATATAGTATATGCAAACAAATATATAGTATATGCCTAATATTATGAATTACGAATAATAAAGGTTATTTGACGTAGTTTATTTCCGAAAAAAAAAAAAAACTATCGGAAAAAAACGGGGACGGACGTCTCGGCTTAGATATTACATCTTTAATTTTTTGAAAATGTTGCCGACATCGATCGTTTTCATACTGAGACTTTACTTTTGTAGCGTATTACTACATATAATGGATGATCGATAAAGGAGGAAACTCACTAAGGAGAGAGGCCCAAACTCGAAGCTGTTTGGTCGGCCGTGGCATTTCGTCTCGGTCCCACACTACTAGACTCGTCAGTAAGGCGATGTAGTGAGGATCTGCCTTAGACGTCCTGGAATCAGTTTAGGTTAGGAATCAGTTAGGTGGCTGTTCTATATAAAGTAGTTCTATATAAAGTAGTTCGCGTGACTGAGTTACTTTAGCGAACCCGTGTTTGGACTAATCATTGAACATGCTTTCAGACAATTCTGTTATTTCGAATAACGCTCCTCACGCGAACATTCGAATAAAGATAGAACCTGGCACGTCAGAATCAGACAACATGTCGGAACCCAGCACGTCGACATCGCTTTCAAAGGTGAAAAGCATTAAAGTGGAACCAGGTTTTTCACCTACCACCACCACGCAGAGGTTGATATCTTATCGGCTACCACGAGACCTGACACTAGGTGGAAATATTAAGATTGAAAAACCAAAGAAAGTGTATACGCCAAATCTCAATGTACAAAGGAATAAAAAGAAAGAGTAAGTTATTAATCAACTTATGACACAGTACAGATGCTAAAGGTAATTTAATTTCAGCGGTCCAGCGATTTCAGTTAAAACTGATCTGGTAAAACCGAAAAACAGTAATCGTGGAAGGGAACGAGGAAGAGGAGACAGAGGACGTGGAAGAGGAGATAAAGGAAATGTAATACAGGTAATGTTAATATTCTAAATATCTTTCAGAAGAGTTCTTCGTTTACATAAAATTACGCAAAATATAATGTAAACTATGTAAATTATGTTTTATATATCATCTATGTGAACAATCTATGAATCATTGAAACTTTGTTCTTTGTCATTGCATTAGACTGCACTAAGTTACTTTTATTTCACTTATATATTTTTATTTATCATTACTAAATGGATATATTTAATTATTTTTTTTCTATAATATGTTATTCAATTTATAATAATAGTATTTTACATTGCTTATAGTGTTTACATGAAAAAAATTCGTGTAAACTAACATAAATGTTCCAGTATTTGTATGGAACAAATAACTACCTCAACTTATAAACTTCTATTTTATTATCTTTGAATTTTATTCTTAAGTCTTCTCTTTACATTTTAATTTAATAATTCAATAAATCATAAGGTCATTCTATATTTCTAGTCTGTTGGCATTTGGTCAGAGGGAATCTATGTAACACCTACCGCTAGAAAGAGTGACGATTTCAGAGCTTTTAGTAGCACAGCGAGTGCTGTAAAATATCTGGAGAAACCAAAAATAAGTACAAATAAGATTAAAGCAGAAGAAGATAGAAAATTAAAAAATCTGTTAAGAGATGATTTTATTGATGATGTTCCGGACATTGATGAAAAAATGTGTCCTCTTACGCTACCAAGAATTAAAAAAGATATACATGATACGATCGATAATGATAAGATCGATAAGAAACCGGTCATTTCAGAAAATGGTGAAAGTAAGTGTATAATATTTTTTTTAGTAATTTTCTTAATTTAAACATTTTTTTCTTTCAGTTATAAGTGAAGAAAAAAGACAAAACAGAAAGGAAGAACTTACCATTTCTCAAATAACCGAAAACAAAACTAATTCTTATACATTAATTCAAGTAAGGATATCGCATAATTCATTATAATCATTACTTAATTTAATAATAATTGATCAACAGTTTCCAGAATCTTTGCCAGGTTTGGAATCCAGTAGAGAGGAAGCAAAATCGAAACAATCAAATAATTCAAATACTCATAGTGAGAAAGCAAAAACTGAGCTTTGTATTTTAAATAATTTAAGAAATGGTCTCTTAGGAAAACTCGAAATTTTGAAGTCTGGTAAAGCTAGATTACGTCTCGATGAAATGAGTTTTTTCGTTGATGTTGGAGTACAGCAACGTTTCCAACAAGTATAAAATTATATTTTATAACTTATAATTTAAGGAATATAATACTGTTATAACCCTTAATTATTAATTACTTTTCAGGACCTTTTAGCTGTAAAAATAGATGAATCACAAACCGGCGATCTTGTCAATCTTGGTTCAGTGGACAATAAATTAATTTGTTCTCCAGATTTTGGATCTGTATTAGAAAATTCATAAGAAATTTTATAAACATGTATCATCTTTAATAAAAAATGTTTGTGTATAAAAGGATGTTGCAGGAGATTCGTGAACAATATATATAATGCGGATTATAATTTTTAATACTTCTATATTTTTTATACTAGCAAATTACGTAAATTATTAAATAAATTACATTACGTCTGCAAATTCGGTATGGCGATTCTGATGTCTAGGAGAAATTAGGAGTCACTGTAAAACAGAAACGATTATATCATTTGGGAACACATAGTTTTTGCAAATGGGTTTTCGATTGTTCTTCGACTTGTACAAGTTGCTGTAACATTATCATTCAAGTATACTATATTTATTATTATCTAACACTGTAATGAAAACTAATCTTTATACAAATTAACTCAAATGAATCGCTGTGTATACGAGTCCTAATTTCACTTGAACTTAGGAACTAAAAAAATGTACGATATTTTCTATCGGATTCTTCAAAACATGTAAAATCTTTACATTATATCAGTATACATGAATATTCGTATCAATATGAATAAGTACACTCTGTACACTGATACGAGAAAATGAGTCATCACGTGATTCTGACAAATCTTAATGAAATGTGAAGAGAATATCAATTATATATATATATAAAATTGTATATATAAATATATAATTATATTTATATATATATATAGTTTTTTTTCAATATATTTAAATTATAAATTACTTCACAATGTAAATACTATTTGATCTTGTTCCGAAGGGATTGAGTGATAAGTAAGAATCCAATTATTGATAAGAAACGGAAGTTATTCATATTCATAATACAATTAAAATGCTTTGCGATAAAGAGATACATGCATGACACATTTTCGAAGATCATATATTAACCTCAATCACTTCGTTCAATGCTATGTCCTTTTTTCATTGATTTTAATGCCTTCTCCCGAAGTTTCTTTTCCAGTTCTTCAGTATTACCTTCACTTACATCAGATTCATCTGAATCCGCAACTTTCTTCTTTTTGTGCTTTCTGTGCTTCTTATGTTTCTTGTGTTTCTTGTGCTTCTTTTCTTTCTTTTTTTTCTTCTCTTCGATTTCACTTTCCTAAAAGTATCAAAGTTCAATTAATAAACAATTATTAAAGATAATAAATTTGTTGTCTATAAAGTCGTTACCTCCGATTCACTAGTGCTGGTTTTTGTCTTTTTCTTACGCTTCTTTTTCACCTTTTCATCGTCCGAACTATCGTCAACTTTTCTTTTCTTCTTCAAATCTTTATCTCCAGGATCGTCATCTTCTGAGCTGGAATCTCGTTTCGATTTCTTCGATTTTGATTTGGAGTCATCTTCACTTGTCGAATCTTTTCTGGATTTTCGTGATCTAGATTTTTCATCATCAGATGAGGTATCTCTCCTCTTTTTCATTTTTTTAGGTTCTTCATCGGAACTAGAGTCTTTCTTCGATTTTCGAGATCTTGATCTGTCATCTTCATTTCTACCTCTTTTAGATTTTTGTTCTTCTTCACCTGAAGAAGAATCTCTTCGTGATCTTTTTGATTTTTTTAATTCTTCTTCCATTTCCTTTCTTGAACGCTTTCGCGAGTCATTTTCAGCAATTTCACGTTTTCTAGTATCCTTTCTATCCTTGTTACGATCATCTATTGAATCTATAATAAAAATTATTTATAAAATTACTATACATTTATTATTATTTATATGTAAATTATATACTTATAAAAAAGTTTATTTGCATTTTATTTATAAATTTATACTATATATTTAAATAATTATAACATGCCAATTATTTATATTTGATACGAAAAACTTACCAGTTCGGCTAGTATCTCTGACTTTCTTATTTTTATCCGAATGCTTTCTATCATCTTCAGAATCCGAACTGGATCCAGCTCTGCTCTTATCAGATTTATCTTCATCGGTCGAAGTTTTCTTAGATTTCTTCGATTTTTCTGTCTTTTTCACTTTTCTCTTGCCTGTAAAATAAATTTATAAAAGAAAAAAATATTAATATATTTATTACATGTTATTAACTATAAAATTAAAATGTATTTTTTACCTTCACCATCACTATCCTCACTGTCTGTAGAGCCATCACGCTTTTCTCTTTTTGTTTTTTTAGCCATTTCTATAGGTTTCTTGGATGGAAGTTCCAATGGTTTTTGAGTAGATTTTTTATCTTCTGTTACTAATTTTGTTGATTTCAAAGTCGACTTCTCATCCTTCTTTAAAGGGAAAGCATCTCCAGTGGTAAAATTCACTTCTCCAGTCTTCGTTGTTGGTGATTCGTCCTTAGTGTCTTCTCTGAAAGTAAAATATACGCACAATCGTAATAATTAAAATTTTAATTATGCAAATATCTTGCAACATACTTAATCGTCTGTTTAATTTTAGCTACTGCCACGATGTCTTCGGTCTTCTTAAACGGCGAAGGTGTACGCGACAAACTCTTCGAGAACTTGAAAACAAAGAAAAAAATAGGTAAATTTTATAAAAGACTAACGTAATAATATTTTCTTTTATTATCAATATAATTTTATTTATTGTAGATATTATAAAATTGAATTTTTTAAATTAATCTATGTGATAAATAATTAATGAACTTATTAAACTTACTCTGTGTCTGGTAACAGGAAGTGATGTAGCTTGAATTTTTTTAGGAGAAACACTAGGTTCAGGCTTTTTCACAGCGACCGGTTCTATCTTCTTAATTTCTTTTTCTGGACGCTTAGCAGGTTCTTCTTTCACCGTCTTTTCTTTCTCCTTCTTCTTGGCATCATCCGCGTGCTCGCGTTCTTTTTCCCGCTTCTCTTGTGGCGGTTTGCGTTCGATCGATTTTCTGCAAACAGATTACAAGCACGTTTTTTGTAGAATATTATTCAACAAACATAAATACACCACGACCAAGTATCCATCGATTGCAGACTCCGTGAAAGTATCGTGTTCAAAGTGAAAATTTCACTCACCTAAGTGACTCGTCCTCATTGCTAGAGGAACTACTCTCGCTACTTTCCGAGCTACTTGATTTAGACCGGCCATTTCGCAATTCTTTTCGCGATCCTGTATCAGGCGGTCTTTTAGTTTTTTCATCCACTTTCCTGTCCTTCGCCTTATCCTTGGTACCCTTCGAACGATCAGGAGACCGCTTCTCATCTCTCGAACGATCCACTGATGATCTTTGATCCTTGGATCTCGATCTACGATCCTTAGATCTAGATCGACGATCCTTATCCCGTCGTTCTCTGGAGCGATCCCGTCTACTTGATCTGTCGCGTGAGGAAGATCTATCATACCTGCTCGATCGATCCCGTCCATCCGGCGAACGTCGGCTCCCACGTCGATCGGGCGAACGGCGCCTATCGCGTCTTTCCGATGATCTTCTTCGACGATCCAGTGATCTCCTGCGACGCCTGTCTTCAGGACTCGGTGACCTACGACGATATCTCGCCGGACTTCTGCGTGGGGGACTGCTACAACAATTTCTCATGCACACAATGCAAAGATAAATTTATTTGATATATAAAAGAATACCAACCTTCGCCTATTAAGCGGTCTGCGCACCGAAGGTGGTCGCATGCTGCGGCTGCCGCTGTATCGGTCTAATCTCTCCCTTTCCCTCTCCCTTTCACGCTCCCTCCTCCTGTCGCGATCCCGGTCCAATGATCTTCTAAAAAAGATAGAAGACATCAAAAATTCATATAAATTGTCGATTTCGTTACTAAACTTTTTGTGGCACAATTAGATTAGATATATACCGCGAACAATATTGTAATATTTACTGCACCTGATTTGGCGCAAAGAATATAACTGTGTCTCTTGATAATACAAGTTGTAATACGTATATATAAATGATTATATGCATATAAATATATATATATATATATATATATATATATAATCTTTTAGATATATAACTTTTACAACTAAAGATTGAATTATTTATTATCAAAAATTTATAAATCTTACCTTCGATTTCTATCTCGTGATCTATCGCGTGATCTATCTCGTGATCTATCTCGCGATCTGTCTCGTGATCTATCTCGTGATCTATTTCTGTCTCTATCCTTAGATCGTCCTCTATCTTTACGTGGCGAAGGACTTCTTCGCTTAGGAGCTGATTTTCTTTCCCGACTAGAGTCGCTATCACTACCACTATCATCTTTGTTTGTTTTCCTGTAGGATCTCTTAGCTTGCACGCCATCCTTCTTCTTTCGTATCTCGAAGTCGCTCTTATCCTTTCCATCTTTGTCCACTTCTGATTCAGAGCTGCTGCTCGTACTACCATTACGTTTTCTATTGGAATCTGCATTGGCCTTTTGCTTCTCCGTAGACTTCGAGCGCGACTTGGATGATCTTGAGTCACTCGAGACGGATCTTGATTTTCTCGACTTGCTCCTGTCCTCACTTTTGGATCGGGATTTCTTGGATCGCGATCGCGATCGCGATCGTGATCGTGATCTTGGTGATTTGGATTTGCTTCGCTTAGACTTCGTACGGTCCTGCGAGCGCGATTTTGATCTCCTAGATTTAGATCGAGATCTTCTAGATCTTGATTTTGAACGAGATCGTCTTGATTTCGAAGCGGGCGATCGTGATCGACGTGTCTTTGAATCTCGGCTAGGTGACTTACTTCTAGATTTCTTTGAACGATTTGTTGGCGATTTAGATGCAGATCGCGATTTCCTTGCTGACTTATCCACTGATTCCGGCGATGGTGTGCGATTATTTTTTTTCTTTCCATCAGCAATGCTCATCAATTTGGCTTGCAATCTTGATATTGCTACTGCGGCTTCCCTATGAAGAAAAAACATAAAATTTAAAATATATAAAATAAAATATATTTCAATACAATACATAAATATGATTTGTTATTTACGGCTTGGTTTTAACTGGCATCAAAGGTATAGCATTTTCCGGTTGCGGCGAATCTTCTCGTTCAATCTTAACGTCGGGCATATCTTTCCCGTTATCCTTCGAATTTTTATTCGGTGATCTTGAAACGGATCTTCTCTTACGACTCGATCGATCACGATCCCTATGTCGATCACGTGATCTGCTCCTTTTACTTCTACATTAAAAAAAATAATAAAGATA